GATGGAAGAGCTCCAGGAACACTTGCCAGGGCAGTATGTCCCCAGCAAGACGCAATGATGCGGAGGGGGAGAGACTCAGAGAAGCCACACAAACATATACACCTACTGCAAAACCCACAGCACTGGGATCGACCTGCTCTCGCTGCAGTCAGGCTGATCCTCGTCATCGCCAGCTGAATGATTTGATGACAACAAAAACCACATGCAAGGTTTATAATATGCCCAGGCAAGGGTTCTTTGCTGTGAGAGGGTCACATTGTTACACACCTACAGACAGGGCTCATTGCCCAGGGCAGGCGCTGGCTAGGCTGCAATTAGAGAAAGCGGCCACAGCCCTGTTCTGTGGTCCCAGAAAAGTTGTCCAAGAATAAACAGGGTTAGATAGTTGTCATCTGCACTCAATCAACCTCTTCTCTCAAGCTGCCACCTGCCTCCCAGTTAAGTCACTAATTCAAAGCACTGCTACCTGTGTGCAGCTTTACAGGTTTATACGCATTGGTGTAAGCAGCTGAAAGATCAACACTTTGTTTGTCAGTGGAAGCACATGAGATTTGGCAGAAACCCTGCTATCCAGTGGAACAGGGATTAGCTGGGAGGCAGATGTGACTTATTCATGTCTGCATCAGCTTCAGGAACCGTGATTCATGTTACGCAGCGAGGCAGCATTGCAGTGCTACAAAGGGCTGTGCAGTTTGTCTGTTGTTGGAAGCTACCCTAGTGTGCAAGCCTGTGTAGCAAGACTTGTGATACTTGCCAGTTTTTAGTCCCAGACCTGATGCCTCAGAGCTGAAGGTGCCAGAAAGCTTCAGAAAGAAAAGGGCGTTTTAAGGCAAGTAAAGCCAGTTTCGAAGGGAAAGGAGAGCAAAATGGCTAACTGCCATGCCTTTCAGCTGTCAGCAGGAATGCATGCAAAATTTAGATGGAGAAGGTAGTCTGAGTTTTGACTTCGTAGTATAGCTAGAATGACTTTGTGTGATTTTCTGTGTGTGTAGAACTGCAGGCACTCATTGACATGATAGGGACTGGAATAGACACTGAACTGCATACAGAACACGTGGATGCAATTATTATGTCTGGAACAGCTTTAAGTGACGTTTTGCTAGAGAGAGTGGCTAATCTAATCTCTTTTCCTTCAGTCTGAACACTGCAGCTTACAGGAGAAGAGCCCGCTGAACCAGCGAAACAAGATAGAGACGTAACAACTCCGGCAATTGGTGAACAAGAGACTTAAAACAAGTAATGTCCTGAAAAGTGAACATGCGCTGTATTCATGCCAGTAATCCCTATTTGGCAAAAGCCAGGAGGGAAGTTGACAACTGCAAGATGCCAAGAAGAGGAAAGAAAAAAGAAAACCCAAATGATCTTTAAAAGAACTACAAAGTACTCCAGGAATAGGTTTTAAGCGTTAACAAGAAAATTGCATAAGCGCTATGAGAAAAATGACAAGTGAAAACAGACTTTGACAGGCAGCACACAGTTAACTCCAAATGGCCTAAATACCATAGGTACAAAAGTGACACTTAACAGGGTCACGGTGCACCTGGGCTTCCAGCTGCACAGCACCTTCTGCTGGCTGGGCTTCCCGCTACAGGCTTCCCTCCTCTCCAAGGGGAAAACCTGATCCAAGGGGAAAACGTGATCACTCCCCACCACCACCCACACTCTCTCTCCCCGGTTTCCGATTACATTTTCCTGCCACCCCTTTTCCAGTGAGGTTATCACCTGCACCCCTCTGGCCCGGGCAGCAGCATCCCTCCGGCCACCCGGGAGCTTGCGGAGCGGCTGTGCTGCCCTCCCGAAGCGAGTTACCCCGCTTTCGTGCTCTCCCTGCACCCCTTCCCTCCCCCATGGCACATGAGGCCAGCTGTTACAGCTTCAACGGTTTTACAGACGTGTACACTGATCTCATGGCAGAAGCCGGGAGACGTGTGGGATACCACAAGCCTCCCCCCCCCCAAACAGGCAGCGAGACACCACCCCCCCGTGCAAACAGGCGGCGACGCCAGTCTCAAGATTCCCTCCCTATTGTAATTATTTTTGCTCTGCGCAGAGATTTATCGCATGCAGCTGCCACAAGTTGTTTACAAGACACAAAAGCTATGAAAACAAGGTTGACGAAGTCTGCGTGTGAGCTGTTTTCCCTGGCATAGATTTGTCATACCTCTTAGCTCCCTTACGCCCTGGCTGGCTGCGCGGACCCCGGTAACGCACGGCAATGCCTTCCCTTCCTCTTCGAAGTCAATCTAAGTGTGTGTTTTCAGCCAGAGGTTGGGTTTTGACACAGCTGCCTTGCAATTAGGTTTATCACTGCAGCAAAGAACAGCAAAACTGCCTGTGTTGTCTCATTGTTTCTTTTTACTGCTTTTTCTCCCTTTTTTTTCTTATTCCATGGTAAAACAAGTTTCCTGAAATAAACTTTTCCTTTGCTCTCCCAAGGGTGAGTGACCAGCGCTTGAAGTCTTCTGTTAGGTGCTAGACTCCTGCTCAGTTCCGAATCCTAGCTCCACCTGAAGCCTTACATCTACCTAGATTTGGTAATTTTATCTGGAGTTACTTCAAGTTTCCGCTCTGAAAGAATGGACTCAGACAAACTTCAGTAACCTGCACCAAAACTATCAGTGCTAGATTACAGGAAAGCAGAAACTCCCTTTTGATATTATTTTAGCGGGTACTCAGCATGAGTCATTTTCTTCCTCCAAGTTAAACAACACCTCAGGGTAGGGAAAAGCTTTTACACGGTGTGCCAGGTGCTACTCAGCCAAAGGGGTTTGGCTTATGACTACAGCTGAACTTCTAGGTGTAACCTTAACACAAGTAATAATTAAAAAAAAAAAAATAATTGGCCTCAAGCAAAACAGGTCACAAGTGAAGTCCCCAGGGTAAGTCAGTCAGCAAAATGGAAATGCAGTGCTCATCACAAGGGCAGGACTTTGGTGCTCAGTTACACTAATGCCATTTTGTGTGGTATAATGGTAAATGAAAACAGCGCAGAGACCACAGGCTTTTACTTTCAATGAAAACTGTTAACCTGAATGGCAACAGCTTTCTTCCTCATCCTATTTTCATTTTCATTACTGCAGCTGTTCTAGTAGAATTATAGAACTGGTCAGCTCAGCAAGCAAAGCTCAAATTTTTTTTTCTAAACTTGCTGACATTTTTTTTTTTATTTTAAAGGGCAGAGTAATGAAGAGTAAAGATCTCTGAGAATGCCCTTTAATGATCCGAGTCCCCCACTTTTTCTCTACCCCACAGCATACCAGCAACCTGCTTTGAAAAAAAAAAAAAAAAAAAAAGAGGAAAAAGTCAAATGACTCGCATCAAACAATGCAAACATGTTTGCATGAGGTTGTTTTTCCTTCGTCAGTGCTTGAGGCATGGGCGTAAGGAGTGTTGCAATAAAGTTCCTTCCTGCATGTGGACGAGGAAGCATCTTCCAAACCTTTACCAAAGATGACACTGCTCTTTGGGTGTCTAGCACCCTTTGAGAACAATCATCTATGCCACAAAAGGATGTCTATTGACCAACTTTTCCCACAACATTGACCTCACAGTTACACAGATGTGTACTTCCATTTTATTTTATAATTAGCCATTAAAAAAACCAGACAAACGACTAAAAAAACATACATGGGTATCCAGGAAAAATAGCCTAGAAGTATAAAGTACAGCGTGTCCAAAGAGACAAACCACAAGGCTCCTTCTGGACTCACGTGCTATTCCTTGAAAACACAGTATACAGCCATCTCCAGCTATGTTCAAAATTATTTTTTCTAGCTTTATTTCAACAAAAAGTATTTAAAAAAATAATTCTATATTCATTCACAGTATATTAGGATGACTGTTACTACAGCTGATGCAGACACGAGTAAGCCACAGTGTTTACTATTTGCCTTTTTTTTTTTAAATATAATTATTGATTTTAAACTTGAAGGTTGAAGAAAAGCAGAAGTTCAGTAGAATTCCAAAGAGTACTCCAGAGAACAAATAAAGAGTATTATTTCTGACACCAAAAAAAGATAAAGACCACAGCAAAACAAAATGCATATACATTGCAGTCTGAATATTGCAGTCTTCTACTCATAATGATATCCTTAAATTCATCAGCTATCCTGCTCCATGAAGCCCTCCCCAGCCTCCCAAACAGACAACTGGTTTGTTTTTAAGGATTAGCTGGAACCAATTTTTTCCCCTAGACGTCTCCTATTTCACTGTTTTTGGAAGAATAAGGGTGGGTGACTGACATTCAAATTAAGTTGAAATGTGAGCTGCAAGTCTTCACATTTTTCAGTAATAAGTCATTTTGATAGCAAAGTCCGTTTCTGAAAGGTAACTTGGACTCTGTTGGCCAGAATACACCCCAATACAACAGGGATCTCTTCTAAATCTTAGTCAACCACCTGTTGAAGTATCTCACCAAGACCTGGCTCCCAGAACTCAGATTTCAACCCAATACAGTCTCTTCTATTTCTGCCTACTAGAATTACTGAGTCAAAACCTTGTCGTTGCTAGTCCCAGAAGAGTAAGAGTGGGAGCCCTTGTCCTTCCCCCTCTAAATTTGTCACCAGTGACGTCTAGGAGCTGTATCACAAAGACCTGCAAAGAACGCTCACCCCAACCCCTCTTCTGGCCTGCTCATTTCATCTTCAGGAGAACTTCCCCATGGGCTGTCACATCTCCCAGCCCTAAAGCATTTCTAGAAGCCAAAAGACGAAACTCTGAATGGGGCCTAAGATATCTCCCTGAAATTTAGTGAGAGTTGCCTACACAGCTCCCTTTGGCCCCTTTAAAAAATTTCAACATAGCAGAACACGGTCAGGTACTTATGGCCCACTTTTCAGCATTCCTTTAAACATCTGGTTAACGACAACTGCTAGCGTAGCTCTCTAAACAAAGTCAGTATGAGCTCAAAAATATTTCTCACTTCCATTTATTTCAAGAGTAAAGCCATGTTTTCCGCAAAACTAGTATTCAACAAAATACTCTGTATGCATCCAGTTTTAAAGAAAATATTTTATTACATTATGGGAAAAAAGCATAATCATCCGAAGTTCGTATTGTTAAAAAAATTGAAAATTTATTTTAGACAGCGTGTCGGTATATTCTGTTCCGCATGGGAATGGTAAGAAGACTTTATATCATTACTAGATATTGCACAGTCTGAAAGAAACAAAAACAAATCACATGATCTTGGGAACCATCTCACATTATGAAAAACCTACAAAGAAAACGTTAAAAAAAAAAACAAAACAAAAAACAAACACACAATCCTTTCTTTCTACAGTAGCTTTAAGTTTATAATTCTTGGAATGACCATATTCCACTGAAGACCATCTCAGTGACAGGAAGCTTCATTTCAGCAATCCCTTGTGCAAATAAGATTAATTAAAAAAAAAAAAAAAAAATGCAGTGAAGTCTTCTGATATCGTGTGGGTGGCAATAACCACACAGCTGTTAGATCCCTGGAAAGACAAAACGGGGAAGGAGAAGGAAGGGGATTTAGGCCATAAGTTTTGCCTGCAACTCCATCTCTGCCGCCCTTTTGAGTGCAACATCCACCAGTAGCTGAAATCCACTGAAATCCTGGTTAAGGTCTGGTGGGGTTGGAGGAGGAGTGTTAAAGAGCCCACTTTGTGCGTTTGCACCAGGTCCCAGTTTAGATGCGTCCTCATGGTAGGAGAGGGAGTTGTCTGTGAAGCCGTTGGCCGGGGGCTGCTGCAGGTCCGTGGTCTGGCCTACGTCAGCTGGCTGGCAAAAGTGGAAAGGGGCATCTTTCAACGCAGTCACAGTCGTGTGGCAAATCACCGACGGCCGAGCCAGGACCGATCCCGGGGAAGCCGGCTTGGAAGAGGACACAGTCTTGCCGAGCGGTGCGGCAGCGGGAAGGAAGGCAGTCTCCTCCAGCAGGGGAATGTAGTTCTTTGTGCTGATGGAAGACTCCATCAGGCCGCCCTCGGGAAGCTTGGTCCCTCGCCGCGAGATAGTGAATTGATTTGGGTCTTTGCCATCCTTCCTCAGCATGTCAGGTAAAAGCCTGCGGCGTGCATTGATAAACCAGTTGCAGACCTGGGAATATAATGACATCTTAATTTCTACCTTCATTCATTTCCAACTATGTGCCATTAGAGTCGTTGGGTTAGATTAATGAATCCCTCCAAGCAGTTTCCTTAACTGCAGAACAAAAGAGAGACCTACTGACAAGTCCTGACATGCCTGGCAAAGGCCCTTCCCTTGTCCCAGCTCTACCCCCGGCTCCCCACTCCTGTTACAGAAAGCCCCGGGACATCTGAAGACTGCTAGCATGAACGGAGGAGTTTAGCTTTTAACTCTGTGCACACACATTAACCTATTAGCTATTGTTCCCTAGCTTAGGTTAATTAACAACAGGAAAACCTTTTCTCTCTGAAGAGAGCCACTCCTCCCACAAATAGTTACTGATTTTCCTTGTTCAACTGACTGTGTCGACAGACATAACATGAATTACCTCATTTAAGTTTGTCCTTGTTTAAATATCAAACCAGTTTCCTGGGCGATACAGGATAGTTTATAGTTTAACGTCTTTTTTCTGTTTACTACAGAAAGAGGTTTTCTTTATGATGTTACATTAAGGAAATTTTACTTTATAGGCAATTACAAAATTTGTACTAAGGAATTAACCTGGAAAAATAAAGCCCAGAAGTCAACAGGAGCACTCTATATTTAGCACCTCTCAAAACCAAACCAGGGTTTACCCAAGTTCTCATGCAGCCACCTTCCCAGAAGGTGGAAAGGAGCAGCTGTCAATAGCTACTCCACCAAAGGTGATCAATGAGAATGATGCATCCAAGGGACCTCGCAGCTGCCAGCGGTATCCCGGGATGAGAATCCAAACTAATGACACAGAAGCCTCATCATGCCTATACTAACATACTTGAGTAGCTCTATCACATACAGGTTGTTCCCCTGATCTTACTGGAAGTCATCATACACATAATTATATACGTGCATGTTCTACAGGAACGAGCCTCAAGCTGCAGTTTTAGAAGTGAAGAGTTATATGTTAAGCTGCATATCTATCACCATAAAACCTCTGTTGACAAATAAATACCTTCTTCTCACAATAAATTACCTTATACAGACACTTTATGTCTTTGGGGCCCTGATTCTGCAAAAATTAGCATCCACGCTCGAATTCATGACTGTCTGTTCTCCCAGAGAAGTAATTTTATTCCCAATAAACAAAAGTCATCATAACACACAATTCATTTGTATTTCTCCTTACAAGTGCCGTCATAAGGAGTGCGAGTAACAGTAAAAAAGGAAATCTCACATGCAGTGTAAACATTTATATCAGTGACTAGACCACAGGTAAATCAAGAAGAAAACAGCTCCTTTTGAAGCGAGAACTACTTTTTTGAATACCTGTAGTGTGGAAAGGTGCGTCTGTCGGGATAACAGCGCTTTTTCTTGCTCTGAAGGATAAGCATTGTATCGGTGCTCATATAGCCAGTCCCGAAGAATCTGCACGGATTCCTTGGGCAGGTTGCCACGTCTTCTCCGTTTGCCTGAGCCAGCAGATGAGGAAAGATCCAGTGGGACATCCATAGTGTCATCATCCTCTGTTTCACTGCCTGATATTGCAACTACACCTACAATTGTAAGAAGACAAGAACAATGAGCTTCCTAAATCCATAAAGTACTCAGCTCCAGCATTCTATGGTTCAGACACTTTTTATTACATTAACTGCCTTTACTATGAAACATGGTATAGCCTCCTATATAGGAGATTTGTCCTGTAGCGTTAACTTGTCAAGCTGTAGCTTTTCTGTCAGCTGAACAAAAAGTAGCACCAATGATCTGTTCCTAGGGGAATTCTTCTCTGCAAACCCTCATTTTCTTGTTCCCCTGGCAACCTTTTATCTGCTGCATGTTATCAGATAGCTTCAATCTAATGCCAATATTGTCCAAATTTGCTTGCTATGGTATGCACCCAACACTTTTGTTCAAGGATAACCATCCAGTGCCTGGGCAAAAGGTCAATAACCAAGAACTTAAAACACCCAACTCAAGCAACGGGTTATTTAATTATTTCTTAACATGCCGATGCCTCCCTCCTGGGAGAGACAGCTTGTAGATTTTATAAATTAATAGCTCATTCCAGATCTATTAATAAAAACTAATGGAACAAGAAAAGAAGAAAGGGAAAAATTGTGTCTGGCCCCACCCCCAAGTGGATTTTCACTTAGGAAGACAAAAAAGTGCAGGAAAAGGAAAGAACCAGGTGCCTAACTCATGTAAGAGTCCACCAGTTTATCAGGAGATGGACTTCTGTAATTTAATTGCACTTCTGTATCGAAGAACCACAATCATTTAATGTTTGGGTGGGTTGGTTTGTTTGGTTTTTTTAAATGTACCACTTTGCATCCTGATTATTTTTTCAACTTCAGGGTTTTCATCTCATATTATAATCTGTGGAAATGTGTGTTCCGTGCTACACTTACTACAAAGGCTCCAGATTTACAAGTTAACTGCATACCTTTTTCCTTCAACACAAAGGAAGGAACAGATTTCAAAGTTTGATTATCCCTTTATATATACACTACACTACTAGTAACATGAAGTATGGTATGTAAATTTTAAAAAAAAAAAAAAAGAAAAAAAGAAAAAATATTCAAAGTTAGGAACACTACAATTCTATTCCTTTGGTAAGATATAAAAGTCACTGAGGAAACAAATAGTACTGTAAAATACAAAGAAAACCATGCTTTAAATACTCACCAGGTTAAGCTCACCAGAAATGTTAGGAATCTTACAAACTATATATAAATCCAAGTAAGATAGCACCCATTTTCAACTAGTACAATTAAACACTAATTTCAAGTGAAATTATACTGGCTTTCAGAAGCATTTTCTAGAAATTATAGAAGGCAAACAAGCCCTTAATCCTTCTGTTTTGAACTTGGAGGCGGGGGACTGGCTCATTCATAACATCTAAACTAAAAACCTTAATAGTAAAAACAAGTTAAATGTCAAAAGTAAAATTTTTATGTGTGCAACCACCCATAGTTCAAAAATTCTGTGTAAGGAAACAAAGTCAGCCTAAAATATGACAAGTGTGCCTGTGAAAGTATAAAACTATATAAAGCTATAGTTATATCCATAAATAAAGAAAGGAATTGAACAGAAGGAATTAACTTCATTTAAAAAAAAAAAAACAACAAACAAAACGGAAAAAGGGGTGTGTGTGTAAGTTTTGCTTAATATTTCGGGGGGGGCAGGAGGGGCGTCTCCCCACACTTTCAAACTTTAGCCAAAGCTGACATCGTGAATTATTCTTTCTTTCCCCTATTTATGAACAGCTCCAACACCCTTACATTTAGCTTAAGTTGTCCAAATTTCAATGCGTATTTTTGACACGCAAGCATTCCCAGCAGGATCAATCTGCAATTTGTCTGGCGCAGTTACTTCAGTAACTTACTTAGTATTGTTTTCATTCTCCCAATTGCTGATTTATGTAACCGACAAACACCAAACTGACATACCAATTTTTTCCTGTGATGATTAGCTACATAAATTATCCAGTCATGGAACAGGAACAATAGGACAATATTTAAATAGCCAACACAAGATAAACTCCAAATTATGTAAACAGGTTCTTAATTCACATAGAAAGTATGTCAAGTTTGCTTTAAAATGATTCAGAGCAAACTGCTTTACATTTGTCATAGCTTCACGGAAAGTGTTGTCACGCTTGCAACCTAACCTGAGAACATGCCTTGCACAATGGGCTCCTGGAGCCATGAGGAGCACTTCTTGGAACAAAGATCCTGCACAGACAACACCATGGCTCTCCAAAGCAGCTCATCCCTTTTAAATTGAATTTAAAAACTAGCTAAAACTAGCCTACGCTATTCAGACGATGTTTTCAAGTGAGCTGTTCTTGTTTGTCAGAAACCAGAAGTGTTGCAGCACTTCAGTGGGTTGGGTTTTTTGTTTGTTTTTAAATATAATAGGCAGTAAGACAGGACCTTGAAAAACAGGGAGAGGCAGACAGCGAGGGCTGGAAATAAGAGGGAAAAGAAGCCAAAGAAACTACTCCTATGAGAAAGTTAGGTGTCTAATGGTTTGTGAGCCATATTCACGTGGCATAACAAGACGTCCTCCAGACGCACACCACCCCATCTGGAGCAACCTCTCCAAGATCTAACACACAGCTACAAGACTCCACGGGCACCTCTCCGAATTTGAGAAAACTGATTTGACAGCAAAACAACTTCTACAACTGTCGCTCTTTTTCATCCCAAACAAAAAGTGACAAAATACTGTCTGAAAGCCAGCAGCATAAAAACGTTTCTCTATTTTGCAAACAAGATCTTTCGCTAAAGTAAAAGTTGCTGTCTGACTAACCGTAACCTACCTAGCAAGAAATGAGTCAACAGCACAGCCTGCCCTTTGACCTGCTCGCTTAGTGTGTCCTATTAATTGACACAGTAAGTTAGTGACACAAAGCAGGTTTTGGTTAAGAAGGAAACCTGGTGTAGTACAACTTCTCCTCATATTTAAATGAGCTCATTTAAATAGATGATCAGCCCTCTGAAGTTGTGGCAGATCTCTCCGGCGCGGTACAAAGCGAGCAGCAACAGGAAGTCATGGCTAGAAATCTCGCACTACCCCAGCTGATAATTTTTACTAGAGCAGGAGCCACGTTGCTGCTGTCAAGGCTCTGTTTTCATTAAAGTGTTCCTACTGATCACAACCCAGCTTTGTTTTTCCGTCTTGTTAGTAATCAGGCTATTCGCTGCTGGTTTCCTGTTTTAACAGGGCCCAACTGAAAAGGCTTCTGGCTAGGCTCCACGACCGGACCATTGGCTTACTGTTATTTACACCCAGAATAAAGGCTTGTAGATGCGACGAGTAGCCCCAGGTGACCTACTAATTTATTTCGTCTCGAAGGCAGGCTAGGGCCAGCTTATTTTACATCTTCTCTTAAATACGTTTAATCTAAGCAGAAAAACTGCTTTTACAGGACTAAATTAAAGCAGCACAAGTTCATTCGCACAGAGGTCTGAGAAACAATACAAAAACCCAGTTCTCCACTCCCGCCATCACCACTTAGATGAGCAGTCCACGCTATTAATGACCTAAGAACTACATGATCAGCATCCCTTCTTTATAAATTACTTTATCCTCCTGGCTTTTCAACTGAAGTCATATACATGATTGAATGCACTGTTGCATTGTATCACAGGCCAAAGACTTTACAGGTCCTCCTGTAATCAGCTCAGGGAAGATTACACCTAGGAGGATCTCAAGTCTAGGCTGAACACCCAACCCTTAACAGCTTGAAACAACTTGAGTAAAAGTACAGTGATGACTAAAGTTGATTTCAAAATAAACTACTGCTACTTAAGAAGGCATGCTGAAATGCTTTGAGGGGGAGGACAAAGTATGTAGAGAGGCCGAGACAAATGAAATGGAAGTCAAGCAAATGAAAAATTTAGGCTGAGTATCAGGAAAAAAAAAAAACAACTATCCCATTGTGTCGAGGAAGAGCTTCACAGAGGAAGTGGCAGAAGCCAATTGTTATTCAAAACAGGACAAAGTATACCACAAGGAACAATCTCTGCCCTCCAGAGAGGGGACGGACAAAAATCACCTTACAGAAAACCTCCCACCCCACCCCTTTAGGGTTCTCTGAATTTCTTAAGCCAGATTTTTTTTTTATGAGCACAGATAAACAGAACCAGTTCCCATCTAAGGCCCTGATCCTGTTGTAACCAAGTTCAGTAGGATTCCTCACATGTATAAACTTGAGCACATGCCTGTGTCTTTGCAAGACTGTATTCTAAATCAGCTAATTAACAAGCTGAGTATGTTCACTGTGATTGCTATCACGTTATTATTTGTAAATGAAACTATCCACAGAAGAGTCCTCGGGGTTTTAATCCACAGCCTGTCAGCTAACGCCCCCCCCCCAAAAAAAAAAAACAAACAAAAAAACCCAACTCCCCCAAAAATCCAACACACAAACAAAAAAACCTAACTAAAATTTAATGTGAATTTAAAAACCAACAACAAAAATAAGTTAGTTTAAAATTATTCATAAGTAACCAAGAACTACAAGGATGCAGAAGGGAATTTCCACAGTAAAAAAAAAAACTTTTTCCTCTGAAGAGGTTTCATAATTGAGGAACCAGCTTACTTGTTTTCCTTTGCATTTCACAGCTTGCGCTCTAACGCTTCTAAAGCAGCCAGACTTGGCTATGCTATACATTTTTTTTTTTTCTTTAAACGGGATTTTTCTAGGAGTGCAAGCAAGAAATCTGTAACAAAGTCACTCTTTGAAACTTCTTGAATGAGCCTCAAATGCCAGGAGGTCACAAATAACTACAAGCCCAACCTTTAATAAAACAAAGGCACCCTAGCCCTAACATCTTTTTAAAAGTTTCCGTCTTTGTCTCCTCACCTTTTAATTTCTGCCACGCAAACCCCAGGCCCATGGCCCCTCTCAAAAGTTCTCCCTCCCGCCTGTCACCTTTCATTGTTTCCATTGTTTCAGCCCAGGACTTGAAATCCTCAAAGCAGAAGATCTCCCCCACCCCCCCCC